TTTGTGCCCCTACAGGCCCGACATCATGCTGCTGCACTACCCTGCCAAGAAAATACACGCCAACTGGTTCTGTATACAACACGTGCTCAATAAGGCTGCCAAAAGAGACTCCAGAAGGGAATACCAACTGCACGTTTAAAGTGAGCCCCAACATTTCCACTGATGACTTTTGGCAGCTGAAACTAAAATCAGTGGCCTGTAGTGGTCTGAAATTGTCACGTAAGTCTGTTTATAGTGAGGTGTTCACAGGGTGGAATTCCGAGGGAGGCGGCAGTGGCAGGCAGACAGATGAAGTTTTCTTTTCCTTAACAATGTGGTTAAACTGAATGGATTTACAGTCATGGGCCATATAACGATGCCTGGGTTAAAGATGGACCACATGTAAGATTATGCTGTATTTTTACCATATCTTTTCTATGTTTAGATACACAGACACTTACCATTGCGTCACAACCGCCCACAGTATTCAGCACAGTATCATGTTACACAGGTAGGTTCGTAGCCTAGGAGCAATGGGCCGTACCATATAGCCTAGGTGTATAGTAGGCTGTACCATCTGGGGGTGTGTAAGTACACTCTATGATGTTGCACAATGATGAAATCACCTAACAATGCATTTCTCAGAATGTATCCCTGTCATTAAGCAACATGCCCTTTTCCCAAATTTCAGATTTGAAATAATTCATGAAGTTAATAAATGATAAGATCCGAAGAAAGGAAGGGTAAAAATATGCTGATCATAAGGGTTTATACAACTGCTGTGATTGTGTAACTCTTGGCTTTGGGCTTCCTGGCAGCCAGACCAAAAAGAAACAATGTTTGTCAGCTTTAAGCATCTTCTGGGAGACAGGCATTGTCCCAGATCTGTATTTTAAAGGGAATTGCCTCAGGATTCCTGAGGGAATTCAAAGGATGAGAATTAAAATGTGTTTGTAGATGGAAAATAAAAGGTGGTGGAACTGGCAACGGGAGGAAGAGATAGGGGCACCAAGATACAGGTTTCTGAGTCCAGGTTGTCTTCAAGAGGCTGCCTCCTCAGGGCAAGTAGAGCCCTTCTAGACCTCTAAAGGTCTGAAGTGTTTCAGGAACACAGAAAGTTCCTTTAATGACATTACACAATCTCAGAGTGGGCAAAGGGAGGGCATCGTGAGCTCCAACGCCAGCATGACTTGCACTCCCGCCCACGCTGCCTCCGGGCCAGCCTACCAGCCAAGTGAGGCGCCTGCTCCTCTGTCCATTTGTCCCCTTCCCTCTGTTGACAGGTCCACCCCTTTTGCCCTCTTTCTCAAATGGCGGTCTCACCTCCAAGGTGGCTGCTTACACATTTGGGAGTCAGTTTCCCTCTTCCCTTTTCTGCGCAAGCTCTACGTTGATCCATCTACTGCTACATTGGAGTAAATGACTGCTAAGTCACTTACTTACAGAGGCTGCAGTGGTGCAACTGTTCTGATGTTACATTTAGAATAAGAATTTCAACGCTGGAAGTGGCACAGTAACTGTGGGGAGACCATAAGAAGTTTGTTTTGTTGTTGGTATTTTTTTTTTTTTGACTGATAATGCTAACAAATCAAAATGATACACAGTGCATATGTTGTTTAGAACCTTTGGATGTTAAGTTCTGAAAAACTACCTGCAACATGAATTCTTGAGATACAAAACATTATAATCCCATTAGGGAACTCCTGAGAACCCTGCAGCAACCCCTTTCTAAAAACAGGCTCCCAGCCGGCGCGGTGGCTCACGCCTGTAATCCTAGCTCTCTGGGAGGCCGAGGCGGGTGGATTGTTTGAGCTCAGGAGTTCGAAACCAGCCTGAGCAAGAGCAAGACCCCGTCTCTACTAAAAATAGAAAGAAATTAATCGAACAACTAAAAATATGTAGAAAAAATTAGCCGGGCATGGTGGCGCATGCCTGTAGTCCCAGCTACTTGGGAGGCTGAGGCAGGAGGATCGCTTGAGCCCAGGAGTTTGAGGTTGCTGTGAGCTGGGCTGACGCCACGGCACTCTAGCCCGGGCAACACAGTGAGACTCTGTCTCAAAAAAAGAAAAAAAGAACACACGTGTGTGAGGGTGGTGGGAATAGCAAGGGGGAAGCCTCCTCTCCCACCGCCCAACAGCCGGTTCCCAGGTTTCACATGTCTTTTATGAACCAAACAACTTCTACACTCCACTCTCTGATCCTGACCCTCCACGAGCTCCAGACTGGCTATCTACTGCCCACCTAGCATCTCTGCTTACACGTAATATAGGGGCAGTTTGGCCAGAACATAAGCCTCGATTTCTACTCTAAAATCCATTCCTCCCCAGACTTTCCCATTCAGTGTAAGGCACCCACAATACCCCGGCTGCTCCAGCCAAGACTCTAGAAGGCACACTCTGCGATCTCTCTCCGTTCTGTCAGCTTTCTGACAGCAGTTCTCAGACATGGCTGAACATGAGAGAAATGTGGGAGCTATAAAGCATCCCAATACCCAGAGCCCTTCCTCCAGGCCAATTAGAGTGGAATCTCTGGAGGTGGGGCCCAGGCATCAGTACTTTTAAATAGCTCTCCAAGGAATTCTACATTGCAGCCAGGCTTGAGAACTAGAGGCTTAAATAGACTCCAAATCCAACAACGGCTTCTCTCTGGCTTCACTGCTCCCACCTTGGGCCAAGCCATCGCCATGTCTTGTCTGGACACCTGCAATACCTCTAGTCTCTCACTTCTACTTGTCATTCCCTGAACCTCCATTACAAGCACAAAGCAAATCAGATCACATCCTGCCTCTCTGATGGCTTCCCACTGCACATAGAATAAAAACCTATGTTCTCACGAGGCCTATGAGGCCCTGAACAATCCAGCCTCTGAGGCCCTCTCCATCTCTTCTGGCCTCTCTTGCCCCCACTATGTTTTGATCACCCTGGTCTTGTCTGTTTCGAACGTGCCAAGCATGCTCCTGCCTCTGGGCCTTCGTGCCTACTCTCTCCTCTGCCCTTGGATCTTCATTTGCCTGGATTGTAGCTTCAGGTCATTCAGATCAGCTCACAAGGTACCACCTCAGAGAGGCCTTCTTAGACCACCTTGATGGAAAGTAGTTCCCCTTCACCCTAGAAAAGTCACTACCATATCACCCAGGTCACATTGTTTTATTGTCCTTAAAGCACTATCAGTTTCTGAAATACTTTGTTCAATCATGTCTTCACTATCCAGCCCCACCATGAGAATGTGAGCTTCAAGAGGACAGGGATTTTTGTCTGTTTTGCTCACAGCTGTATTCATTGCCCAGAAAAGAATCTCTCACAGAGTAGGCACTCAGTAAACACAGCCACCCATTTTATTCCCCCACCAGTGCCACTCCTCCTCACCACTGCCAGAGTGATCCTTGTAAAATGACAATTTTGTTTGAAATTTGTTCAAAATCCTCAGGGGCTCCAGACTGCCTCTCATCATCCAACTCCTATCCTCCCTCCTCTTTGGCACCCCATCCACGTCATCAACCCAAACCCATTTTCTCCTAAGTTCCCACCATTCTAAACAAATCATGGCTGCCCAGAGGAGCCACACTCCTGCGTTCCCAAGTCTCTGTGCATGCTGCTCCCTCTGCCGGTCTTCTTGTCCTCAAAGTCCACTGCTCTGACAAGAACTGGCTTGGACTTTACCTCCTCCAATCCGTCACCCCTACCTAGACTGGTTAATGTTCTCCCCCAGCAATCCATGTTTCCTTCTGCCACCGCCTTCATCACACAGGACAAACCTCACCTGTATTCTCCAAACAGAGGGCACCTTGAGGGTATGAACAGCGCCTGGGGCTTAGTAGACACTAAATACGAACTGAGCGAAATAATATCTTCTACTTCTGTATCCCCAATAGCAAGAGCAACATAAACATTTCTAAATAAATCATTAACTTGTTTTCAGAATGACAACATTGATGCTGCTGGGAAAACTCTTTTATACCCCTGTGCTTGGGGGCACTTACAATTATACCCACATACTCTGCTTCCTTCAGGTGATGGCTGTTCAGTGATCCTGCAAGTGATCCTGTGAGGGTGCTAACACTGCGCCAACAGGCCCCTGCTTCACTGTGTTTGAGAAAAGGCACGGTCTGGACCAGTCACTGGCATGTAATTGAGTTGGGAAAGCTGCCTTCCCTTGGGACAGATTAACAATCCACCACCTGAACCAGCAGGAAATGGAGCCCTTCAAGGACAGGAACTAACTCAGGACCCCATCATCTTTACTGCGCTTTCCCTGGGGCTCACAAAAATGAATCTGCATGGCCAGTGTCACTGCCAGTAGCAGTGCTCTCCTTCTAATTTAAACACACACATCCCACGCACTGAAACAAGCCACAGGAGGTCTTTATCAAATAACGTATTCTCTTGTTTTTCCCATACAAGAGAATGAACAGGAACAGAGGGTTTAATACCAGGGTGCACAAACACTCAATAGCCACGTGCACAGCTTGGTATATTTAGCTAAGTCATCGAGCAGAACACCACTGCTTTACCCACAGATATTCACCAATAGGCACTTGTTGCGGCCTGAAACAGGCTTGTCCAGCTTTTCAGGAAAAGATGAACCTCCCCAAGCAAAGTGAAGGCCATTTCCGTGTAGGTTCCTGGAATTGGATGTGGCTTTAATTTCAAATCCACCTAGCTCCAGCCCTGTCTTCACTGGGAAGCCCCATCTTGACCCAACCCTCCAGCATGCTTTCTACTCTGTCTATCCCAGCCTCCAGAGTTATCTGTGCTTTGCTAATCAGAGGCCAGGCTTCCCCTAGACCAAGCCCCTCCCACAACAGGCCCAACTGATGTATACGTCAATGTACATATTCAACCAAGATCAGAATTCTAATCAGAATTCCACAGAACTCTGAGCAAGGGGATCCACTTCCCCACCCAGCCCTGGCTGTCCTGTTTCCCATAGTCCCAAGGTCTGGGGGAGCATGCAGGCTGTGGCCATGCCAGGGCCAGAGGAGGAGAGTGTGGGCTGGTCAAAACAAGCCCAGACATACTCACGGGGTCCGTCAGCATGGCCCGGCAGTGGGAAGCCAGGGCCAAGAAGGCCAGCAGGTTGAACACAATTCCATTGATGATGCTGTACACGTAGTCTCGGGATGGAATCAGCATGACAAAGAGAACCACAAACTCCGCATAGAGGACCAGAAACCAGGTGACAATGGCACAGGCAATGCCACAGCCGTCACGGATAAACCACATGGTTCCCACAGGACCAGGGTAGGGTGGTGGGACACACTTCTCCGGCTGGAGGTATTCTGGTTTCCGTTCAATGTCTCGGAAGTGGTGGGTGGGGATAAGCATCATAAGCTATTCTGTCCATACTGGCATCTGAAAGAGAGAGGAAAGAACCCAGAAACTTGGTGTTGTCTTGTCATCAAGGAGACTTGACAAAATCACCTTTCCAAAGTGAGCCATGAGTATCTATGCACAAACCCCTTGCAGAAAAGCTGCCTAAACTTGTTCACTTAAAGTGTGAATTCTCATTGCTTCTTGGCCTCTTGGCTAAGATCAAGTATAGTAAAATGTGAGTTCTCTTCCCTATTTCTGAGAGTTAACTTAGCCTTTGTGAAACAGCACCACTTTGCTCCAGACCTTCCCATGACAGATAATGAAAAGGGAGCCTCCAAAGGGTTAATATCCCGCCCAAGGTGAGCTAGAGCAGGAGCAGCAAACACAGCATGCCAGTGTGGAGGCAGGACTGGAACCCAGCTCTCTTTGGCTATTAGGGATCTACTGGGCAGAAAGTGCCTCAATAGATATATGCAAATTCTGACTTGAAAGGAAGGGAGAGGGAAGGAAATAGGGTGAAGGAGAGTTTGAAGATGTTTTCCCACCACCTGGCTATGGGGCTTTGTGGGCCTCTGTTTCCTCACCTGTGAAAACACCCACATTGCAGCCCTGGCCACCCTCCTCCCAGGGTTGCTGGTGCGAAGCTGGAGGTGCTTGTGATGAACAATATAGATTGTAACACTCTGTACACCTCACAGATTGTGCAAAAATATTCTCTCTGGAAAAGACATCATTCCTTCAGAAATAAATGCTGAGCAAAGCACCCTTTCTTCCTAACAGGTGCAACTTGAGTCTTTGGGGGCAGCAATGAAATAACTAAGAATCAATGACTACAGTCTATCTGTATACAGCAACGTGCTACAAGACACAGAAAGCTCAGATTTCCCTCCTTTTTTTAAATCTTAACCTCTTTGGCCTGCTGCATCACTAACTAGGCTTCTCAGTTAGAAACTGTGATGGCTTAAGCTTCCCACCAGATGTAGGTGCCGTGGAAAAGTCACCCATAACACAGGCTGTGACACAGGGAAGTGATACCTCAGTCTTTTGAGGCCTCAAGTAACTATACAGCAGGGGAAATTACTCAAAAGCCACAGAGGCTATGTGTGAAGACTGTGGCTCTGAACGGTAAGGGCAGGCTTTCAATGGTTGTGCTGAGTTATCCTTACCCTTTTTTCCAATTTTCCTTCTTCCTCCAATGTCCTCATCCCCAACAAAGAAAGAGCATCTGGACTGAATACAGTACAGTCATGAAAAGTAAGGATGTGTCCACAAAGCTGAGAAGGCAGAGCAGTAACTACTACTCAAAATGACAGACATTCTAGAGCCACAAGTTGCACAGACTAATAATGAAGAATAAGGACAGGGCCACCCTTCCCAAGGTGCCAGAGAACTAATGGCCAAAAGGCAGACAAATGTGTACCATGTACTTGTCCAAAGGAACATCAACTCAACAAATACAGTGACTATCACATGCTGGGAACACTGTACCAGGGAACAAGAAGTCATGACACATATAGAATAACCACCTCCTCAATCAGAGTAAAAGCCTTGGTTCCTGATGGTCCATCAATCGGAATTTTCTAACAAAGCAATCTTGTGCTCTCCAGAGGACAGTGGCAATTTAGTGCTGCCAGACAACCTAAAAACATTAAAAGATGTGGGTGCACCTGCTGTCACACCAAACAGAAGGATAGTACAAGATCACAGACCAGGGATGTCTGGGAACTGACCCACGCCCAGGAAATTCTAAAACCCTAAACTCTGTTCAACCAAAACCAACCAAAAAAGCTGACAACCTACAATGATCCAAGAGCTCATTGAAGCTCAACATTTTGACAACTTCCAGTTGCAAGCACTTTTTTGGTTTTTCCTGCTGCAATACAGATTTGTATGTGTATGACTTATGTTCCCACAATTACTATTTAAGCTCAAAACCAATAAAGTTTAATTGGACCGCGGCCACACCATTTGATTATATGTGTATATTGTCTTTGGTGGCTTTTGCACTATAATGGCAACAGTTGAGTAGCTGTGACCCATAAGCCCTAAATATTTACTCTCTGGCCCTTCACAGAAAGACCTACTGATACCTAGTCCCAAGCAGTTGTTGTCCACCAAATAAATAACAGAGCCCCCATGACTCCTGCTTCCCCTGCAGATCAGGCTGGGGTGATGAGATGGTCAGTTACAACTCATCCCACCCCACCCTCATCTGTGGCAGCATAACCTCCTCCATCATCTGCAGTCTGAGGGCCATCTCCCCATAACCTGTGTACTCTATCAAACTGTTCTTTGATTATCATAAATGGCATGGTTGTCATAAATGGATGATTACTGAAAATAAATTTAGAATAACTGTCTTGTTTAGATACTTCCAGTGATAAATTATGCTCATAGCACATTCAGAGTAGTTGACTGACAATTGCGCATTTTTAAGTTGTACTTATGGCAATGACTTGACTAAACTAGAGCTATGTTTTATATGCATGGTTTTGCTGAGGAATAAGCCCTTCCACATAAGTAAACTTCCCAGGTAACTATGACTTACTTTGAAGAAGAGATACATTTTAATCATTTGGATGGTTAAGATGCAAATCTTTTTTTGTTTTTCCAGACAGCGTCTCCCTCTGTCACCCAGGCTGGAATGCACTGGCATAATCAGAGCCCATTGTAGCCTTGAACTCATGAGCTCAAGTGATCTTCCAGCCTCAGCTTCCCAAAGTGCTGGGATTACAGGCATGAGCCACCACGCCTAGCTGGAAATCTCAAAAAATAGAATCAAATTTAAAGGAAGGAAGGAAGGAATGAAAGGAGGGTGGGAAAAGGAAGGGAAAGGAATTTTAGCTTTTTCTGCTTTAGGTATAATAACCATCCATTTCTTCTGGAATGATTGAGAGTTATTACCAGGAACATCAATTACTGAAGTGTGTTAGGTAATGATGTCCTCAGGGGCTAGCGAAATTCACTCAGTCTCAGCCTCACACCAACTGGCCTGTTCAGACTTATAATTCTGGCATCTCTGCTGTATAGTTGTCTTCCTCCCCCATGTCATTTCTGTCTCTACAGTCATTAATCTTCCCAGTGTACCCTTTATTTACTACTGCTGACTGGCTACAGGCTAGAAAAGCAAATAAAACTAAATCTTATTAGATGTATTTGTAAAAGGGTACTTATTTTGGGTACTATGCCTTTAGGGAATACCTGCTATGCTCCCCCACCATACAGGCCTTGAGAGCTGGAAGCCTGCCTTAGCGTTAGCATTTGCTGATTCAATGGACGCACGAGCTTTGTGATTCCAGGCCCATTACTTGGAGACCTTGTCTCCTTACTTTCAGGGCTGCAGCCATATTCTGAATGATGGAGGGTGTGCACCAAGTAGGACTGTGGAGTAGATGGACTGACCCTTACTCAAGTAGCCAGAATGTTCCATCTTTGGACAATGTGGAACCAAAGAGTGTACCGAGGAACTCTGTCTTCCCATCACCCTCACTGGTGAGTGGGAGTCTGTGATCTGGGAAAGGACCCAGCCAAAGGTGCACCTGGCAGAGCCAGACACTAAGTGCTAAAACGAAGGGCACATTCCAACCCACACTTCAGAGTTTCAAAATATCCCAGTTGAAACCAAGGAAGACATACTGCTATCTAAAGGTTACTTAACCCCCAGGCCTCCCAAAAGGAAGGAAGTATTACTAGCTTTCCAATAAGGATCTGTTCCTTAAATTAACCAACTGAAAATCTGAGAAATATGGAGAAAAACCCACTGTGAAACAAATTGTACGTGTTCCCTTCACCCTGCCCCTAACAAAAACAACAAAAAGGGCAAATATAAACCCCTTTTTCTTTTCTGTTTTGAATTAGGAAACTCCAGTCCTTAGAATTGAGCAGCAGCTCTTTGCCAAGGACCCACCTTCGCATGTGAGTCCTTACTTCCAAGAGCTGGGCAGAACTGGCTGCTCAGGCGTCTGGGGCAGGCCCTCAAGGAGGATGGTGGGCCCCAAATCCCCAATACCACCTGCTGCCAGCACATGCCCTCTGAGGGGCAGCCTCCTCCAGATCCTCCCTCTTTGCCTCCCTCATCCCCTTGCCCAGTTTGCTCTCTAAGGTCTCCTCTCTTCATTCAATTCAATTCAAAAAGACATTTATGGAGCAGCCACTAAATGCAAGGAACTGTGCAGAGGCTCTCACAGGAGGGATAATGAGGACAATAATGTGTGTGTGCTGCTCTGCTCAGGCCCTGCCATTCCCCTCCCCTGGCTCCCAATCTGGTAAGACCAGTCCTATTTGCTTTTTTCTATTGACTTGCAAGTCCCATTTTGTTTAGCTCTGTAACCTGGTATCTTCTGTGAGTATGTGCTCAAATCAATAGTTCTTGGGTGAATGGCCAGGTAAATCAGACAGACACACCCACAATACTGCTAACACATAGATGACTTGTGAATTGCACAACAAAGGGGCAAATAGCACCAAAAAGAAACCAAAGCAAAAAAAACAACCCACCAAAAACCCAAACAACCCAGAAGCAAGATAGATAGACTTTATCATGGTAAGGACTCCTGAAGGGGCGGGATCTGAGCAGGGCACAGAGCCAGTAGTGTACTGCTTAGATAAATGCAAGGCGGGCGGGTAGTCCAGGCAGGGAAAGTGGTGGTGATGATGGCAGGGCTGGATGTCCAGGGCTATGTGCGTGTCTGTGCACACATACAGGCGTTGCAGAGAAGGGGCAGGGAGTGATTGGAAATGAAGCTTTATAGGTAGGAGAAGGTTGTGCTTTAGAAAGCCTTTTATTAATAATTTCATAATGAGATGAGATTTCACCCTGGAGGTACTGGTAAGCCACTGAAGTTTCTGAGGAAAGTTGTGAGGGGCTCATGTCCATGCTGTAGCAAGCACACTCTGGCAGTATGACAGGCAAGGCAGATGAGAGGCTGACAAGCCCAGAGAGGCACTAAAGAACTGAGTCTCATTTTGGTGTTATTGGGTTTTCTGCTCCTCCAAGTGGCTAATAGCTTTCCAAGGAAAGACCTACAACGATGATGATT